ACTTTCCACCCTTGAAAGAGGGAGAGCCTCCTTGATGCGGTTGTGTGAGGAAAGACGTGAACAGCTAGAACAGTGTATGGGCCTTCAGTATTTTTACCGCGACGCTGAACAGTCGGAATCTTGGATTGGTGAGCAAGAGGCCCTCTTAGAAATAAAAGATGTGGGAGACTCACTCGATTCTGTCGAAGCACTTATAAGGAAACATGAATACTTCGAAAAGTCACTTTTAGCACAAGAAGAAAAGATGCGACAACTTGATGAATTCGCTGCAAAATTAATCGAGTCAAACCACTATGCGGCTGCACAGGTTCATGAGATTCAGGAAGGTCTTCAAAGTAGACGAATTGCATTAAAGGAGAAAGCTCGGAACCGCCGTCAGCGTCTTGAAGATTCCCACCGTTACCAAATGTTCGATAGAGATGCAGATGAAATGCAGTCATGGATATCAGGAAAACTTAGAAATGCACTTGATGAAAGTTACAAAGACTCCACGAATTTGCAAACAAAGGTGCAGAAGCATCAGAGTTTTGAGGTAGAAATACAAGCGAACCAATCCCGCGTTGAAGATATTAAAAAGACAGGTCAGGATTTGTTAAATGCAAACCACTACAACTCGCCAGAAATAAAAGTAAAGATTGAACAGTTGGATGAAACTCGGTCTCATCTCGTAAATGCCATGGGAGACAAGAAGAAAAATTTAGATCAAGCAAGTAGGCAACAACAGTTCGCTCGCAAAGTAGAAGATGTTGAGTTATGGTTGAATGATGTTGAAGCTCATATAGCCTCAGAGGATGTCGTTCGTGATCTAAACGGTGTGATGAACGCACAAAAGCGGCACAACTTGCTTGAATCTGATGTAGCTGCTCATCGTGAACGTATAGATGCATTCAAAGTCCAGGCTGACACGCTTGCTGCAGAAAGTCATTTCGACACTCCTATTATCCAAGAAGAACAAAGACAGTTAGCCCAACGTTACCATGACCTGCATACCCCTCTAAGTCAACGTCGTGAGAAGTCAAGAGATTCCCTTCCCTCGGACACATCTTTGCAGCTTGAACATGGTGACTATAGTGAGCTGATGAAGTTACTAGTCGATTGCTATATAGATTTCAAAGCACATTCGCTTAACCAAATCGAATCAGAAATGTGGCATCAGTATGCTGAAAGCTTCACTACTGGCTCAGTAGCCACTCACAAAGATGCCTTCAGGTTATGGGTTAAAGATAAGAACCCTGTTGTTGGGAACTATATTGGTTTTACAGAGTCATATCGTGATCCCTTTGGCATTCGTGCAAAGTTTGAGTCATTTGTCGCTGTTGTAAATAGGTCAGTGTCTAAAAAATTCCAACGACTTGTAAATAATGCTGAAAGGTTGTTAACAAATTTACCATGGCCTTCTACATTTGAAAAAGTTAATTTCTTACAGCCAGACCTTACTAGTTTGGATGTAGTTACGTTTGAAACTTCTGGAATTCCTGTTGGAACTAATATTCCTAACTATGATGATGTACGACGAGTTGGTGGATTTAAAAATGTTTCTTTGAATAATGTACTTAGTGTTCGTCTCGAGGATCCTAAACCGGAGTTTCTACGTAATGAAGACAAGCAAATGTACGTGGAACATGCTGAAAGTTCCTTTGAATTACAAGTTGGACTTCATGAACTGATGGGATATGGTTCAGGTAAACTGTTTTGGCGTGATTGTTATGGAAAGCGAAATTCCCACACGAAAACTACTGAATATGTCATAAATGGAGATCCTGTAAAAGGTTGGTGTGAACCAGGAGAAACGTATGACAACAAGTTTTCAAACCTTTCATCTGCAATAGACAAGTGTCAAGCTGAGTGCGTTGGAATTTATTTATCTGGTTTACCTCTTGTTCTGGAGCAGTTCGGTTTGAATACCAACTGTGCTCAAGGCGATGTCTCAGATGTAGTCCGTATTAATTGGTTGTCAATGATTCCTTCAGTTGTAACTTCCATGGAGTTTTATTCTCCAACAGAAAGTGCTGATGACATTGGATCATGGTGTCAAGCACATTATTGTGCTTGTTATGCAATTCTGCGAGTTTTGATTGAAACTGACAATTCTATGGGGCGTACACATAAAGTAGTCGGTGAGAACAATGCATGTAATTTGTGTATTTCGTTAGTTCCAAAAAGGCCTTTAACTGCGGCTAGTTCAGCAATTGGTGGATTCTTAAGAAAATTACAATATTACAAAGGTAAAGCGAATGCTATGTATGGATATGCTTTCTCCCAACACTATAGTCAACTACTTCCAAAATATTTGACTGATTTGCTCTGGCATAAATGGCTACGTGGATATCTTCTGATGCTGCAAACAAGATCTAAGTGGTTGGATATAAAGCACAACCTACAACCTGATGATCTCTTGTTAGTTAACAGTGCTGACACACAGAGAGGTCTCTGGCGAAAGGCTATAGTTAAGCAGATGTACTATGACCAAGATGGCCACGTCAGGACACTGTGTTTGAAAACTTCAACTCAAGAAGTGGAACAAGATGTAAGAAGCGTACGAAAGGTCAACGTGGTGATCGTTCGCGGGGAGTGTTAATCGCGATAGATAGATAGACTGTATGATAAACGGCCAATCAATATTATGTGACCTTTTTTGTCGCGATTATTGGTCAATTTATTGTAACTCTCACCACGTGATGACCTTGAATGTTCTTTTTTGTCTGTCACTTTACTTGTATATACATGTAATTAATTGACTGTTCATTTTGTCCGTACCTTCAATACTGTTCGAAGCAGATAAAGTTAAAGTCAAGTCATTCTGTTTTAACTATAGTTAAGCCCAGACTCTGTGTCGTCAGTATTGAGGAAGGACTAAATCTGTAGGACAAAAATAATCCTACACGGCCTAACAATCATTCAATTTAAGTCTACGACTTCTTGCTACATAAACAAGCCTAAAATCTAATATTGCATTACCGAAAAATATACAGATCGACTAATGAAAGGGTAAGTTAATTTGATATAACACACAATGAAACAGTATTAATAACCAGATCGCGTTTCGAGCAGAATTTGTTGCTCATAACCGCATGATTACTAATGAACCAATGAACTGCTGTTATTCTGTTCACTGCGATCATTTACTTAATTATGTAATCCAGATACGTCGTGGATTTCTCTCAAATACCTCCTTCTTACTGTCAAGCGATTTAATTACTCCCATTTTTCTGTAGTTGATTTTTGTAAGGGTGAGTTTTGTTTTTACGAGTTCATCACGGATCGATATCAGTTAGAGAACCATAGAAAACCAGCACTAGGGTACTGGACAGCTGTTTCATCCTAGTTTTGGGAATCATCGGCAGTACGCACTCACAACCAGGGTTCAAACCCAAGACCTTCCGGTTACAAGGCAAGCTAGCTCGTATACCATTCAGCCACTGGGAGCCGATTCAGTGGCCAGTTCATGAATTCTAACTTCTACCAATTTGTGATTTAGTGTGACCGCAAACAATGTCGTCGGTGGGACATCCAATCTCACACGTGACATCTGGATGGAACTCACTGGTTACGACTTCTCACTAGAACTCCAGTAAACTCTATCCTGTAGCAAGTCACTAGCTAGCATTAGATTAATTTTCTATAATTGATTTTTGTAAGGTTTAGTTTTTTTAAATTTTTACGAGTTGATCACGGATTGATGATTCCCAAAACTAGGGTGAAACAGCTGTCCAGTACTCCAGTGCTGGTTTTCAATGGTTCGCTAACTGATATCAATCTGTGATCAACTCATAAAAACTTTCATCTTTGTTCAAAACAGCCATTAATATTTTTACGACTATTTCGAACTCTCCGACTATAGTTTGGAGAAACAATGAATCGAGAAGCTACATTATGTATAGCTTCTCTCGTATTTCACTTTGAATCATATCCAGGAGGAATGCTTTTCTCGTAATAAACATTTCATAGCCTTAGCGACACTAACAAGAAAGAGGTATCTGTAGTAGGAGTAATGCGAAAGATTTATATCTCAGAGGGACGATACTAATGTGGTTGTTTTCACTGAACTGGATGGTATATTTACGAAGCCTTTGATGTTTTTCTTGGTAACATGAAGTGAATAATGCAGTAATCTTTCCTGATGATCTCAGTTGTGACTGATTGTTAATTCATTTTACTGTCAGTTGTTTCATTGACCTGGAATTCAACTTTTTTTCATTTTGTGACTGATTCTTTATTAGCTGGTGTATTTGAATCTATGTCAGTATGTGTACAGATTACAGAGTAATTTGAGTATTAGGATTCTAAGATTCCGTATTTCGGTAAAGAATTGATGATTCAGTTTCAAAGGTCAAAATAACCAAGAAGCGATTGTAATTCACCCAAATCAGTTTTCATAGGTTTTCCTTTATTGAATAATATTCATGAGTCACACTATAAAACAATTATGTATATGAACAAATGTATTCTTCTTATTCCCTCGCGTTCCCAGTGGAACATAGGGCTTCAAGCTAGTGGCTTGAAGTTTCTGTAGGAGTGTTTATTTTTACAGGATGGGGTTGCTAGCCTCATGCCCAACCTTTCCTCTTCACCAGCTTTAGTTCTGGCTCAGCGAGGTAAAGGAGTGCGCCGGCCGGGGGTCGAACCCCGGACCATGTGCATGGTCGGCGAGCGTCTTAACCGCTATGCCACCGACGCTGGACAATTGTGTGATTGGCGAGGACTGGTAAGATAACGGCACGTATTGGGATACTGAACCTTGAATACTCCAGAATGTGTATTCTGAATCCCATAATTCAACAATGACGCATATAATAGAGTAATAATGTTGCAATTAGTCGGTATTTTAATAATAAAAAGATATTTCATTTCTGAGAGAATAGGGTTACACTTTGATTCACAATTCACTGTCCAAAACTTGTGTATATTTGAGTTCTGAAATGCTTAATTTTGAATTTTCGTCCCATTTTGCTGAGTGATTTCATTTTCTCTCCCTCTCTTTGTCTTTTTTATGGTAACAGTTCCTACTGTCATTACAACGGCCTAAAACTTCGTGGAATATTGCACTAATTGATGTTGTCCAGCAAAGTATAGATGTACAGAATTCATGTTAAATATTACGCCATATACGTGAACAATGTTAACAAATGTAATACCAGAAGATGCACAGATGATTCTTTTTTCCTTCACTGTATTTTAAATAAAATGAAGTTACTAAATTTTATCTTGAATTTCTACCTCATTCGTTGAGATAATACGCTTCTTAGATGACTCTGAAATCGCGATGAAGGTTTTGTGCGTCACGAATCCGAGACAACAAATAGTTAAACAAAGTCAGTTTTCTGCATCCTCACTAGTATTAAACACTGAATGCCAGCCTTCACTGTTCAAGTGCACTGATTTGGTTAAAGGCATGTTTTCATGCTCCCTTCTTATTTTTTACCCAGAAGTAACACGTTTGAATGTTAGTGTGCAATTGTTGCATAGCTACGGACAGATCGCGTTCCAGTAGCACTAAACCCACAATAAATCTTACATTTTCGATGATGCGACTATTTTTCTGAATTGTATTATCAACTATTGTCTTGCATCTGGGTTGGAAGTTAGTATATGCGTACTTCCGTCACTACATTTACGTCCTACACAATGTCTGCCAAACTTCTCATCACAAAAGCAACTATCTCCTAAACAATGAGAGCTTTTTCCACTTCATTCATGATTATTTTCAAATGATATTACGATTTCACTACAACTCTTAAGCGGAATGTGTAGATTAATTCGAGAACTGAGTGACACCCATGAGCTCATTAAAGCAGCTGTCCTGAAAAAATGACCTGTCATGTCATAGTAACGTTCATTCAGGGAACATTTCCTCTAAAGATATGTTTACAGAAATGTATGAAGTTTTTGGTCAAAGAGAATTCGACGAGAGTCTCTTTGGGGATGTCATAGGCGACAACGGCACTGCAAACTGGGTTTGTAACACTTTTGTAACAACAGAAGACAAGGGCCAGGAAACAGAACGTTTATTTCGGAAAATCAACACGTATTTATAGATTTTGATGTACATTATTGTAGGTTAATGTTAGTAGAAAATACAGTCTGTTGATTGGTTGTTTCTCACACAAAGTTAACCTTGCATATCTTGTGGCTGTGTCTGTTCATCTATATGTTAGCTGTTTCCGCCTGTCCATCTTGACCTTTGACCTCAATTACTGTCAACCAATTTGGCTAGCGACCATCTCTCACCACAACATGACTAATATTCGACACATAAACATTGACCTCAATTACTGTCAACCAATTTGGCTAGCGACCATCTCTCACCACCTTTTAACAAGACCCCATCGATAACTTGGCTGACGCTTCTGGCTAATACTTGACAGTTACTTATGAACTGAATGTCCTAATGGAACATCCCAGGCGGATAGGCCCTTGCACACACACTTCACAGAAATTTACCTCTATGTAGCAGACATAGAAGTTGCATGAAGAAATATTTTATGAGAGCGTGTATCCAGACTGTCACTAGAACCGTAGTACCTGAGTTCAGACAGCAACCATTTATCCAAGGCTAATATCACCGTAGCAGAAGTGCTTCGACGCAGATATCCTTTCAGTTAAATTGATGGAATTAACGGCGTTGAGTCAAGCTATTGATAGAAAAATAAAATATTCGAGCAATCAGTTTCTGGCGTATGCACAGTAGGTCCGAGGTCGAAGGCCACTAAATAGGATGACAGCGTTGTGGAACTCAGTTAAACAACTTCTCGTGAGCCTTAGAACGTGCCGCCTCTAGGAACTATCCACTTTGCGTCATGAATTCAAACAACTGTAGACCATTGGCTCTCCAGCTTCAATGCTTCCAACAAAGACTCGAAAAGTCGCAGGAAATCTGCCTCAAAAAAGACGGCAAACATTTGGAAAACCAGTTTACTAGTATTTATGATAGTGGACGTTTCAGGTGATATTAGACGTTTACTTAGTGTAGCAGATGTCATAATCAAGACTGAGTACCTCAGTAAACTGCATCTGAATAAAGTTTCCTTCCAGCCGCAGATTAAGACAGCCAGAAAGATTGATTCTTTCATCTTCACAAGTCTTATTCAGAGTTCGAAAGACGGCATTTGGCTGGAAGTAGTTTTACGCAAAGATATTTACTGCATTTTAATTCCTGAACTCATCGAACTTTCACGATTTTTATTCATGACTGCAGGTGAAATAAGACTAACACAGAGTGGCATGAAACCTTTTATAGAAGGAATCACCTACGTAAGACAATGTTTGGCTTTGAATGGGACCAATTTTCCGGTAGGCAAATCTGAAACTACAAATTGGGCTTTGTGTTTTAGTTAACGAAACTATATCCTGGAGCATTTCAACAACTATGCCACATCAGATCTTATGTGGAAATTACCAGAATAACATCTTCCATGCTTTATCATGCGTATCATCATGGTAGTCAAACTACAATGAATTCGGCCACAATATAATTTTCCTGTTTTATTCATGTATTGCACGTTACATTCCAAGGTCGTGAGATGTGTGAAAGCTTTCTTGATGCTTCCATTGCTCCTGATGTTCGTTTCCTCCACCGAGACCCATTTAGACTAATTTTAAGATATCACCAACATAGGTATTCATCTACCTAGACCGAAGCAGTGTGTTGGCATAAATTTGCGTGAGGCGAGAAGTTTCTAACATTAGATGCCAATAATTTTAGTCACCACGTACGTCTAGCTTATTTTAATCATAACGAAACTTCTTGTCTCGACATGCTTTTATAAAACAGCCCACTATTCTCATTGGAGTTATACTATTTGAGGAACAACAGAGGTCGGGCCATCAGCCAACTTAACAACTCTAGTTCTGCATGGGGTCGTGAGCGTGTTTAGAGCTACTGTGTTTACTTCTGCAGGACTAACGTAAGGAGCCACTTTTGACCCATGCATGTCATAATTACGCGGGCATGATAAATCCCTAAACCCTACGATAATTCGCATTTGCTTATGTGTCTACGCTCAGGAATGAATGTTGTCAAAAGCACATATTCCTCAGAAAATATGCATAGGGCCTGCTCACCTGACTACTGGTCATATATTAACGCAGACACAAACAGTTATCACCTCTGTCTTAAGTAGTATATCAGTCTCCACATATGAAGAATTATCTACCTAATATTAGTTCTCTAATATCACTCTACACTTGCGGCTACGAATACTACAGATTTTTGATCATGTGTACCTCAGCTCACTTGCTTAGCGATACAATTTATTAATTCATGTGTTTTGCCCATCATTCTTTATTGTTCTCCATTATTCTTCCCTGGGCTACTCAAAAAAGACCATATAATACTACGAAGAACATTGAGGGCTGTAAGTAGGGTCAGTGCTATCCCTTTGACTCAACTAACCGACACTGTTGTCAATAGGCACATGAATTCTTGTAAACACTTAGCTAAAGTTATTTTGTCTGATAGTGAACATCCTCTTTATTCACATTTGTTTCCTTGTATCTCTTCGGGTAAGACCAGAAGAATTTTCATAAACATTTATGCTCGTACTACAAAATATAAAAATTCGACCGTACCATATTTGGGACGAGTATTGTGTGAAGGGACGAATATCAGAAAAGAACTTTTACAACTTTTAAATCATTAACTAAACTATAAAATGTAATGATGCATATTATTGCATGTGTGATTTGTTATATTATTTATTTATTATTCACTGTGACCTAGAAATGGTGTGATTTTGTTGGGGTTTTTATTTTTTCCTATTAATTATCAATATTTTTAACATTTCATACATTTATATAATTATAAAAAGAGCTAGACCAATGCAATATGTAAAATGAAACGCTGAAAATTCCATGCTGTAAATTGTTATTGTTGTGGAATAAAGTGATTATTATTATTATTATTAGACATGAGGGGAAAACAAAGTAAAACGTATCATTCACTGGTTTAAGAACACCTAGTGCTAGCCTCACAGGTTCATAGATGCAGTTCTAAGATAACTGAGGAAAAATGAGGGTGTATTAAAAGCCCAATCAATGAAATGATACTTATAACATGGGTATGGGAAATCTCCTCGACATGAAACAAGATCTCGGTATCGGTGCAAGTATAGAAAATCGAGGAAATTCGAAAACTCAACTGAATCCCCACCACTTCGCATTCAAATGTCAGTTTGTTTGTTCGTGCTGACTGGATCAGATTGGTGACTCTTCGATTTTCAAGGAAGAACTGTGTGGCTACTCAGATGTGATGTATCTCTAAACTGTCTTCATGCCATTGTTAATACATACGTCCTTGGACCGTCGTAATGTGGCTGAGTGATACAGACGATGTGTTCCAACGGAGTATGAGTCTCACATCTTCCCACAGTTCAATATAGCATTAGCAATTGAATACGATATTTCTATTTGAACATTCTGTTTGTTGCTAGAGTCAGAATATTATTCCCACAGTTCTAAAGCGCGTTAGCAAAAGAATAACATGAATTTCAACATTCTATTTCATGTCGTTTATTGTAAGTCAAAATCACACGCTCAGTAATTGATTAGAAAATACAAAACCGTATATATAAATAGCGGTTTGATCACTTAAAAATAACCTTGGCTTCCACGTCTTGCTTTCAGCTGTTAAAGTAAGTGTTATGTTCTCCCTTTATTACTTGTAGTGGAGTTAAGAGCACACTGGCCACGAGATTATGTGATCTAGGCAAAAGTCAGCAATTGCTGAGACCAGTGACCAGGTCTAACGGGGAAGATGGTGTGATTGTTATTTGTACTAGTAGTATTGTATTTCGCAATGACCGAATTACAGGAACTCAACCAAAACACTGAGAGGGATGAATTTAGGAAATTTGTATTTGGCGGAATTATATTTCAAATCAAAATAATAAATATATTAACAAACAACAGTAAGTATTTAAACAATACAAAGATAGAAATAGTCAATCACCACATCCGCCACATGTCGAATGTCTCCTTGCGTATTTATAATGAGGTCTCGGTTTGCTTGCAAGTCTCTGGGATCTTCTAACTGATTCTGTGATATTATTTTCATCAGTATCATCTGGACTTATTTCTGAATTATCTACAATATCAGGATTAGTAGCGGAATCATTAAAATTATAATCGGAACGACCTACTTCGTTTATTCTCACTTGATCCAGGTGTCTGTTATGAATTGAATGATCTTCGATGTCTAATATTTT